TGTTGATATTACGTTAGCAGTCCACTGTCCATTCAGTCCTTTTCATCACAATGCGGATCCTTGGCTGAACTCTCAGTGCCCGACTGGGCATGTAACAGTGCTGCTAGCAAGCCTCCCGACTTGCAGGATAAACCCCAAGGAAAGGCCAAAGGGCGGGAGTGGATTGCGCTGTATCAACCCCTCCCTTGAATAGGCGGCTCGAGTAGGCTCTCTCTCTTTTCTGTCTGATCTCCCCCTCTGCTTGTTTCAAATTATTTCAAACGCTTTGCTTGCTGGTGATAAACAACCGGACTGATGCCCCCCCGGAATAGAAGGGGCTGGGAGCGAGGGAAAAAAAAAGGAAAAAAAAAGAAAAAAAAAAAGAAAAAAAAAAGAAAAGCTCCCTCAATTAAAAGGTTCAGAAAAAGGTTCCCGGAGGAGAAGGGCCTATTGAAACATCAGCATCAGATTTGTGAAAGAAGAATATAATCCTAATATAAACAGACAAACCTAATTGATAGAGAAAGGAAGAACCTATAGACTAACAGTAAATGAGCAGATGGTTCATGGTCCTAGGAGATATCCGCTTCACAGTATGTAAGAGTCAGTAAGACTCTGATCTTCCGTGGTGAAGAAGGCTCTACAAGATTATAATTCACTTCGAAAAATTGCTAATCTAACTACTATTTCCAAAATCGAAAAAGAAAAAACGGTTATGGTTTCAATTTTCAGCGGAACTTGGTAGGGCCTGATGATTTCGCTGTTGCAGCAGGAAAATGCAAACTTCCGTGGTCAAAGGCGTATGATACATTTCTCCACCTCCTCTGACTCCACCTCCTGCTCCCTCAATTGCAATGGATTTCTCCACCTCCTCTTCATCCTTCTCATCCCATACAGTACTCGTTTCTATCTCCCAATCCCGTTTGATTATCTTCTCGATCTCCTGTTCATGCTCTTTATAGTTCTCCTGGCTCTGTTTCACTGTAATCGTCCCCAGACTGCTTGTACTCTTCTCGGCGCTGCTGACAGTTTGTCCCTCCTGAAGATGTACCCCCCTGGCCAGCTGTTTGACTCTCGTTCGTGTGTGACTCGATGCGCCGGCCAACTCCCCGGTGGAAGGGGAAGGGGTGGCAAGAGGCCATGTGATGTCCCCTAACAGTATGGCACATCTCATGCCTGGTTGAACCACCCGTACACAGCCATACATCGGCCGCAGGTAAAAGGGCCTTTACCCGATGCAGCCCCTGACCGACGGGAACAACATATTGGGGTACCTCGCCCAAAGCCCAATTCGTGACAGGAGATCAAAAGACCTGTTCTCTGGGTCAAAAGTCACACTCTAAACCAAAGCAAAAGGCATTGTCAAAGGTCACGATTGTGCCCCTGGGCGAACAGTTGCGATATCTAAGTATTTGGGTTACATCTGTTCATCCAGGGGATGTGCAACTCATGTCTGTTCATGCAGAGATGTGTCTGTACGTGCAGTCAAATGTGTCTGTTCGTGCAGTAAAGGTGTCCGTTCGTGCAAAGGATGTGTCTGTCTAAAAGAAAAGTCAGTCCCAGTTCGGATTCAAGTCGAAAGGGAAGTCTACGTGCAGACTAGAAGTCCGAAATCAAGGCCTGGAGGCCGCATCAGCAGTGACCCTTGAAGGAAAAAGGTCTGGGACACATACACAGAGGCTGGGACTGGGAAAGGACCGAAGACAGACAGGATTCAGCCCCATTTGAGGAGGTCAGCACTATAAGAAACGAAGGTGCCTCCTCCCACGACAGATTTTCCTCTGGCATTGATGCGTGGAAGTGCTGTGGCACTTGTGCGCTAGCTGGATGGATGGTGCTGGCTGAAATAGAGCGGCGCCAGGAAGAAGGGAGGCTGGGCGCTGGCTGCAGGAAAGCCATAGCTGCACCAGCCCATGTTAGTAGTAGAGAGAGAGTTAGTCATTAGAACATCAGTGAGTGACATTCAAAGTAGATCTTTGTAGGTGAGAGTGTGCATGTTGAGCGAAGAGTGAGAATCAAGACATAGTCCTAAGAGAGAGAG